TTTTAAATATTGCTGAAGAAGATATTAAAACAAAAGTACGTTTATGTACATTCCCATGTATAATTCATTTTGATGGAAAAACTATACTTGAGAGAATTAAAGGAAAGAAGCTAAAATGCAAGCGACTAGCTGTACTAGTAAATATTAATGGCGAATCACACTTGTTTGGTGTGCCTTCTTTACCATCCTCTTCAAGAGATAATTAATAAAAAAGGAATAATGCAGTTGCTAGATGAATATAGTATTAAATCAAATGTTGGTGGATTGTGCTTCGACACAACAGCAATAAATACTGGCATTACGAAAGGAACTGTTAATAGAATTACCTATGATTTAGGTAAATACATTTTTTAGGTTGCTTGCAGGCACCATGTTACAGAGTTTAGAATTAGTCATTTTCAGAAAGATGTTACTCATTAAAAAAAGGTAGAAACAGAAAATCTTTTTTTTAAAAGATTAAGAAATAAGTTTGACAATCTAGAGTTTCATTACAATCCTGAAAACATATTAAGGTTTGATTGGTCATTAAAGGCTGGTACTGTAGTCGAAAAAGCAGTAAAAACCAGGTGCAATTCATCATGCAAGATTTCTTAGCTCAGCTCTTTATTATACAAAGTTACATCTGCTATCTAAACAAATAGATTTTTCTGATAAAAGAGAAAGACGTAAAAGCTTAAGTAAAATAAATTATAGAGTTTATTTGTTGTTTTTATGCTTCATGGTACTTGCAAAGCCACAATCCTATTAAAGCCCCATACCTTGATATTACAGCTCTAAACAAATGACTCTGTATAAAGCTGTTTGCCAAGTAAAAGAAGCTGTAGATAAAGTGATTGACTCAATATTAAAACACTCTTGGTACTTAGACTTAACTTTGACACCTCTTTCGCTTCTAGATTATAAAGTTCCTGATAAAGATAAAACACTAATTGCCAAATCAATTTTATTCTACAAAATGCCATCTTTAAAGGCATCTGATTACAATATTGAAAATAAGCCAAAAGAGGATTCCAAAGAGATAATCAACCTAGATAGCACAACGGCTAATAATCCACGAAACTTGGCTGTTTTATTTAACAAGTTTTCCTACTTTACTTTTGCAGTAAATGGGTTTACAGAAGAAAGAATACGCGATTGGTGGTCACTTCCACCATCTTTCTGGCACACTCAATCATATTACAACCAGTTTTTATCCCATGCAAAAACTTTGGTTATAGTAAACGATCATGCAGAAAGAAATGTTGGCATGATGCAGGAGTTTATTCATAGATACATTAGTGAAGATGAAAAACAAATGAGACTGGTAACGATAGACAAAGTTCGTTATGTTAGGAAAAAACCTGAAAAAAGCTCCAGCAAGATGACAAAATGGAATATGGAAATAGTTTTAAATAACATTAATAATTTTAAGAAATTCAAAAGTGATTAGAAAAATTTTTTCTCTTTTGTAGGCTTTTTTGTAAGGTAAATAGAAAATCTAATTTTTATCATAATTGGCGCGAGTAACTTAAAAATTGATTTTGGCGTAAAAACTTGAATCAATTTTTAATTAGTAAAAAAATGAGGAAAGACCCGGGGGTAGATAAGTGTGAGGGGAGAGGTTAGCCAAATACTTTACTAATCAAAGTAACAAGCAATTTACAATATTATTAACCAAAAAATATTTTTATTACACATGTCCGTTAACACTGAGGGGGAGGGGGAGGGGTGTGCCCATCTTTTATTTTTTTGAAAACCTTTTTTTTTATATAAAAAATTGAAAATGGGCTCCTCCTTCACTGAAAAAATGTATTTGTATACTCCAAATGCTTTCTTAGTATCACAACAAACTCACCAATTTTGTGAATTTATGGATAATTTGAACAAAAAATGCTCGGTAGTAAAACCAAAACAAAAACATGTATGATTTTAAATGCAAAATATATATAGTTTATGCCCTTTTTTCTTTTAATTTAGCTAACTTGGTTTATATCAAACCTTCCCTCAACGTCACTGAAACCAGCAATTTTAAAAAAAAATTGACAAAAAAAAATTTTTTTTGTCAACAGAGGCCACATTACCAAGGTCTGCAAAGTCACTAAAGAGCATCATAACCCGCTTTGCAGACAGATTAAGTGATTTTGAGAAGAAGGAAGGAATTTGAGTGAAAGTCAGAAGAAGTTGAGTTAGAAAGATAGCATAGAGAAAGCAGAAAGATATTTTATTTTATATATAGATATTATATTTTCTATATGTTTATATTATATATATATATGTATACATTTATAATATATCATATGTAAAGAAATAATTCATCTCTGTTTTGATTGCGGTTTAACATTTCAATATTCACGTTAGATTTTATTTAAGTTATATATGTTTGCATTTGCAACCAGTGACGTGAGTAGGTGTTACGTGATGAGAGGGAAGGAAGGGGGGGAGGAGAAAGGGAGGAGAGAGAGGGTGCCATTACAGTTTTCGGCTAATAAAAAAAAATAAACAATAATGTTTATGATCTAATTTTGATTTAATAAATAGAATAAAATCAAAATTAGTTTATAATGATTATATCATCTTTAGGTTTAGATCGTACAAACAATCGACTTTTACGATGGTTAAACATAATTGCTCCAATGTAATTGTGCAAGCTGTTTTAGTTGCGTCAGAATTAATCTTTTTACTGATATCATCGCTAAATACATGACATTGAATCAACGTTGAATTTGCATCTGATAAAAGTCGTTTGCGATGGTTTTATATAAATTAATAACAGAAACACAGTAAAAGTTAGCTTCAGATGATTAAATTTTAAGGAATAATACAACCTCTAATAAAAAAAATTTCCAACTAGTTTAATCTCTGTCCATTCATTCCTTATAATCAATAAATTTTTAACAACGTTGTATATTAAGTTTCTGTACCTCCACTAACCGTGACACCTCTTCTACAATCATCCAGTAAAAAAATCTTCCATTGGCAAAAGTGAGACTATCATTCAGGACCAACGACACCGGATTTCGAAGTGGGAAAGGAGGGGGTTCAATCGTCAAAAAAAGTCTTCTATACGTAGAGTATTTTCTTCTTTTTCTGGCGTTGCACGCCATTAAATATGTTCTACTTTGTAAAGTGTCATATGAAGGGCCGATCTATTTGAGGTAGGGGACGATGATGTGCTTTATCTTTCTCCTTCTCCCGGTAGTACACATTAAATGATGTACATCAACAGTAAAAAACATTTATTTACGTTTAACAACAGTATACTCAATAGAAAAAAATTGGGGATATAAAAATATTAATAAAATGATTAAACTTTCTTTATTTAAATTTTCTATTTTTAAACTTATTGTTAATAGTAATAAAATTGAATTTATTTTGCTTTTAACATTTTATTTTTTGCTCATTTAAAAATGCTAGTAATCTCATAGTAATTAAGTTGTAAAAATATTGAATAAGTCCTTTTTTGGATAATTAAACAGACTTATATAATTTCTAAATTCTAATTTTTTTATTACAGTACAGTGCAGTTGTATTAAAAATATAAAAGCTTGAACTTTTGAATAAACGAGGATAACGTAAATTGTTTGATAACTGTAAATATTTTAAAACAAGCAAATCTTTTTTAATATCCTTTGCAAATGATGAAAAAAAATGCCATAAAAGCTCTACTGAAAATAGTGATTTTGGAGTCATTTATGCATCTAACCTTAAGTGGAGCACACATACTCTATCGGGTGTCTCTAAACCTCTATAAAATCTTAATATGCTAAAAATAACATTGTTTGATGAACCATGACTCTAAAATTATATAAGTTGTTTATAAGACTGCACCCTAAATATGCAATGTCTGTTTGGGCTCCCTATTTAAAAAACTATTATTGATTGAATAGATCAACCGAATTCTAGAACGAACCAGAGCCGAAGACACCGGGGGATGAGGTCCGGAAGACACGTGCACCCACTTTTTTTCTAAAGGACCTTTTTTATATTATTTTAAATTCTAGATATAGAAGACTTTTTTTAAAAATTGACGATTGTGCCCCCCCCCCCCCTCACTTCAAAACCCGTGTCGTCGGCCCTGCAAACTGCCTATGCAAGTAACTTTCTACTCCACTCTACTGTCTATTAAAAATATACAAGACTACTTGTTGTGGAAAAAATATAGAACATTTATAAAACTGGTTGTTTATATTGGGGTATTTTCTCTGCTTGCTGTATCTAACCTTAAAGTATACATTATATGTATATTTTAAGGCTACAGTTATAATAATATTAACGGAGTGTCTACTTGCACGTTTTTCACGTGCGAATAGACTATATTTAATTATAGTCTATTCGCACGTTTAATTAAAAAAAGGTAAAGATCACCAAATTTAAAGGGAATTTAAAAAAATTAGATTTATTATTATTGGTTTTTAACTTTAAAATTAAAATAGCACAGTGGAATACTAACGCAGTACTTACGTTGGCTGACTTTCGAAGGATATGCGTACCGTAGTGTATATACATATTGACTGCTTATCTACAGATATACACAGTGTAGTATAAATACAATGAGGAGGGTTTTGGCTTGGGCAAGTAATCTTTTAATTAAAAAAAGGAGTATTTCTTAATGTTTATTTTACCTATTGGTACGTTTTTGTTTGTTTTTTGAATAAAAATTTAATTATGTTTAAGAAATTTTATTTATTTTTATTATAATTGATTAAAAAAATTAAATTTTCAAAATATATGACTTAAGTTATAAACATTTTTTTTGTTGTGAGAAATCTCATATTAAAAATCTAACTTAATTTTTTTTTTTAAAGTGCAAATAGACTATAATAAGATATGTCTATTCACACGAGCGTGCAAATAGACTATAATAAGATATGTCTATTCACCCTAATAATAATACAACATCAATAATAATAATAATAATAATAATAATAATAATAATAATAATAATAATAATATAAATGATAATAATAGTAATAAAAATTTTATTATTATGGTGCTCCAAGAAGAACTAAAATCACAGTGCACCGCGGATATACTTTTAGTATATTTATATTTTATCTTTTAACTGATATCTTTAACTAATTAAATATACAAAAATCTGCAAACAAAATAAAAATTAAAATAAATAAATTTTGTGAGTTCCCCTATCTGCCACAAGAATATTTCCACTAGACGACACAAATAAACCAGTTGGCTTTGAAAATATGCCTGCAGAAATACTTCCTTCTGAACCAAGTACTTTAAGAAGGTTTCCTTCTTCGTTAAAAATTTGCACGTTGGCGTTTCTAAAGTCAGCAATGACAATATTATTTTCGCCATCTAATCCAATTCCAGATGGACACATAAATTGAGCTTCAAGTGTTCCTTTTGAGCCAAACTTTGAAATAAATTTTCCATTTCTATCAAATATTTGAACCCGATAGTTATTTGTATCAGATATTACAATATTGTTTTCCATGGTTACAGAAACGTGTCGGGGAGAATTCATTTTTCCATCTTGGATTCCGTAACCACCAAATGCAAGTAAAAACTTTCCATCAAGATCAAATATTTGAACACGATGGTTGTCTCTGTCGGTAACTATGAGCCTATTTTCCCGATCAATACATATTCCACAAGGACCTTTTAATTGTCCATCTCCTGTTCCACGTGAGCCGTACTTCCTAATAAATTTTCCATCTCCAGTATATGCCTATGCGAAAGTTATGATGTTATTTTATGTGATTGTATATTTATGTGATTATTTTTATAATATCTCTTATTGCAGATATAAAGTTGACTCGACGTTGTATGTTATGAGTTGGCAGACGTTGTTTTTATTAATTTCGTCATTGTTCGCGGTACTTTCCTAGTGAGAAATTGGCTAGTGATAAGCTAGCAATATTTATGGTAATAAAGCAAATTTAATAACAAGGATTGCTAGTTGAATTCAGCAGCTTGGAAAAAATAAATCTACGTTGTTGAAATAATGCTATCTTTTTTGCAATAGAAACAAGCACATACATGTATAATAATAATAAAAATAAAAAAATTGTTCAAATGTTGCTAGCCAATTTCCCACCGGGTTGTTACCTTGCAATAGTTTTACAAACCGATGGATTTGTGTTTATGTAGTGTGTTCGTGTGGCTTTTATTTTTATTATTTTTATTTGGTTATATATAATATTGTTATATTAAGTAAATCTAAAATGCAAAATTGTTTTATAAATTTGAAATTACTTGAATTCTATGATTCCCATGATCTGCTACATAAATGTTGCTATATTTATCTACGGCTATTCCAGTAGGGTACCATATTTCTCCATCGTCTTTTCCTCTTACACCAAATTGATGAAGTAGTTTCCCGTTTACATCAAAAACCTTTAAATAAAAGTTATAAAAATTTTTTCAGATAAAAAACTTTATTTTTATTTTTAAAATTAAAAGAAAAATATATTACTTGAACTTTATGATTACTATGGTCAGTAACTATGATATCACCATCTTTATTACAAACCAAGCCCCATGGTTCATAGCTGTCATCTTTTGCAAGAGAACTTGTGACACCTCCTGAACCAAATTTTGTTAGCATTGGTCCAATTTTTTCTATATCTACTCCTGAGGAAACATTTACTTCAAACGGACTGTTTTGAATAGCTTTGTCGCGTATATAAACAGCTACTAAATGTTTTCCTTTTGATTTTACTTTGTAGGTAACAGAATATGTTCCATTATTATAATCAAGAACTTCTGCATTTGTCGTAGTTCCCTTGGAATCAGTTATTTTTACACTCAAAGCATCTCCTCCTAAACAATGTTATAGTTGTCTTTAAATTATATTTTGATTACAATGGAAATGCGCTTAACTGGTTGTATTAAAAAAACTAATAATATTTTTAATTAAAAAAATACGTTTATTTAGTTTTTTTTATTTATAAACATTATAAATGATTTTTATTATATAATATATAATAACTTATTAAAATTATAAGTTATATTTATATAAACTCAGTAAGACGCAAAATTTCAATTGAAAATCGTACCAAAAACCGAAAATTTTGTATGATTTTAAATTTCTATTTAATTTAGAAAAGTATTTTTTTCTAAAATTTATCATAAAATATTTCTTAATGGAATATAAGCCCATTGTTCATAAGTTACTTAACTTTTTAGTATTTATCTGCTTCTTAAAAATATAAAGACCGCAAATAATCAAACTATTGCAGTGCGCATAATACTTTAATCTTACACTGATAGGGATCGTCTTTATAGGCATAAAGTACTTTATAGACATAAAGTACTTAGGCTTTTATCTAGAACACCCCCCTCCCAATTCCGCATTTTGCAAAAGGCTTTTTTGAGTATTCTCCACCTCCCTAAAAGTACCTACGCGTTTAACCTAACTACGCAACTTTTTTAAATTTAGTGTCTCCTTACCTTTATAATGACCACCTGTCACCCATCTCATATACGCCATTTGCAGACCCCTCTCGGATGGGGATCCGAGCGTACGTACTTATGGATGATCCCGTAACGTTTTGTTTAAAGAAAACAAATTTGTTTAAATAGTTTAAAATAGAAAGTGAACAATGTTTCGTGAATGTAAGCTCATAGTTACTTTTATTGATTTTTCTATGAGTAATTTTATATTTTATATTACTTATTTATGACTATTAATTTATTATTAACTTATTATTATTATTATTATTATATAAGATGGTGTATATAAAAGAAAAAATGTCTAAGAAGTCCTCAAAAAAATAAACAACAAATGTAAAAAAACAACAAATCTAAATAAACAACAAATGTAAAATTGCATTTTTTTAGATTTTCTAAAAAAATTAATTTTGGTTAGCCGAAATTTCGGTTTTAGTTTCTGTAAAATGTTTGTCAAAATATAGGTTTGGGTTTCGTTATTGAACTAGTATACCCGAAATTTTGCTCATTTCGGTTTCGGCTTATTTTCTCTTTCAGTTGATCACTAAAAAAAAACAATCTTTAGACATAAAGTTGCTAAAACAGAAGCTAAATTTCAAGGCCAAATGCTGCCAGACTCAGCGGGCAAAGTAACAACTAAAAATAATGAAAAACACATTATGCTAAAACCCAAAGTTTTGTTCTACAACATTATTTATAAAAGTCTCTTCAAACCTCTGTATATTAATTTAACTTTTTTTATGTTTATATTGTGCTGTTCAAATGTTGAATGATTACATAATATACCACCTAAACATCAGTTTTTTTCACTTTTGTAAAAAAAGAATATAATAGACTTTTAAAAGAAATGCTTTTAAAATTTAAAAAATGTTTAATAAATTTTCTCCTCGTGTAATAAAAAGATCATAACTGTATTTTACTTGTTGCAGAAAGCTTATAAAAATATTGTCTCAACTTACAACAACGTATAATTACCTCCATTATTAGCACATATGAAGATGATGAAGAACATATGAAGATGATGAAGAACGTATGAAGATGATGAATATAATTGTCAACAACTTTCAGTCATCTTCTGAAAATATACGAAATTTTGGAACAACCAAACACACAACATTTTTTCTAAACATATAGCTAATTTTTTTAAGTTTAAATAACCTTTATTTTTTTTATTTTTTTTGAGATGATCAATAGTGATGGTCCTACCTATATAAACATAAAAAGCTGAGTTTAATTTATATTGATCACATCATCAAAGAATAGTCAACATGCTTTACTAAAGTTTTTTTCTTCTTCACATTTAAAAATGACAGTTTATCAATCGTTACAAGCATTTATTTTAAAAAAGTCTGTAATAAATATCATACTAAAAAAATATTATAAACTTCCAAAAGTTGACAAACTTATCAAAATTTATAACCTGAATTTCTCAAAATTTTTAAATTTGAAGAAACAGTAAATAAAGAAGTATAATCATGTAAAAAAACAAAAACAAAAAAAACAAACAACTTTTTTAGCCCTTTAAAAAAGTTTCCAACAAAAAGAATTCCTCGTTTGCTCTGAGACATGGCGGACAACAAAACTTAAATTGTACAAAAAAATTTCTTTCTCTCAACTTAACTTTAAGTTTATCTAAAGGTACGTGTGATAAAAACCCATACTACTGCCATATTTATACAATATTTACACTGAAATTACCTTAGGTCAAAATTTTTCAGATTGCAAAGTTAAATGGTACACAAATGCTATATTCTTTCTGGTATAATTACTTATGCAAACGGTATAGTTCTGCAAATTTTTATTCTTTCTGGGCTACAGGAATAAATTAAATTCAAACACAATGTCTTTCTTATTAAACTACGCATTTAAAAAAATTATTAGCTTCGGTTTTAGTACAAAGGTACTACACCTGAAAATTAAACTGAAACATCTCAACTTCTGATGGGATAATCAAGACCATTTACCAAGTATCGGTACTTCTTAACAATACTACTTTTCAAAAATAAACTGAAATACCTTTATTTCTTATGGGATAATCAAGATCATCGACAAAGTATCGTTACACTTATTCTCATTTATTAAAGTTCATTCAAAGAATAAAAATGATAGGTACGTTACATCGTTAACTTTGTTAAAATACTTATATTTCACATAATTGAAAAAATATATATTCTTGTTGTGATTTCAATATTAAAATATTGTTTAAAACATTTTTGTTCTCAAATTATTTAACAGGTTACATAATAATATTTACATAGTAAAAAAAAGATGGTATAAAAGTTCTCATTTATTAAAGTTCATTCAAAGAATAAAAATGATAGGTACGTTACATCGTTAACTTTGTTAAAATACTTATATTTCACATAATTGAAAAAATATATATTCTTGTTGTGATTTCCATATTAAAATATTGTTTAAAACATTTTTGTTCTCAAATTATTTAACAAGTTACATAATAATATTTACATAGTAAAAAAACGATGGTATAAAAGCAGCAACAAAATTTGAAAAAATTACTAAATGCATGTAATATTAAAATTGTTATATACATTTTCCATAATAATATCTTGACTAAGCATTGTAATACACAAATAGTGTTATATTTTATTAATACTTAATCAACATTATCTTTTATGATTTTAAAGTTCTTTAAAACCCAATTCATATATAAAAACAACTTTGACACAATTGTCAGTAAGGTCATCAATATATTAACTTGAATAAAAAAAACAGCAAGACTTGAATTAAAGCACTTAGCATAGTCTAATAGATTGTCGCAGAGTGGCTTTTTCGTCTTTTGTACCTAACCCATGTCTTTTTAAAGTAGTAGTAAACAGATTCACCTGCTTTTTCTGAGAAAAGTCCATCTGTACCTTTTATAAAGGTAAAGTATGGTTAATTGCAATATTTACTTTGCAAGATACTGCAATATGTACTTAACAAGATACATTTAAATTTTCAAAGTAGTTAATAATATATTTCATTAAAGTAGCGTAAGACGTTCTAAACTCCGTAACACTAGATTGTTGCTAATGTCACAGATGCGAGAATTTTTATTCCAAAGGTTGCTTCTTAAACTTTCTTTTATTAGAAATAAATCAAGTTTTTCTTGATTGATCATATCACAAGCGAGAAAATCTAACTTATCCAAAAGTCTGATGACATTATTGTCATTAAATACGATGTCGCCGCAGCCATGGTTAAACTCCATGGTTAAAAAATAAATAACTTTTTCACCATTAAGTTTAACCATTGCTTCAAAGCAAGGCTACAGTTTTCCAAAAGTTGTAAATATTCCAATTAATGTATGCAACTCAGGTACTAAACTTCCTCATCAAGATATACCACTCTGGATTAATTACATCTTTATAACCAGTTTTGCTTTGGTTTTTGCTTTTGGTTTTCTAAACTTTGCAAATTTACTAATTTCCAAATTTACTTTAATGATAAGCAATAGAACCAAGTGTTTGTTTATTTGAACAACCCAATAGACAAGCTTATTTCTCCAAAAGCATCACAAACAAATATATTTTCAAGTATGACGAGTAATTTCAAAAAGTTTTCACACTTTAAATCAAAAAAAGTTTTTTCAAATTTATGCAAAATAAAGCAAAATTTATGTTCATTAAGATTAAAGCTAATTAAACATTTAGGCTTAAACATAATATTTCCTTCATCTTTTTAACAAACCCAATTTGTTTTAGTATTTTACACCATTCTTTTCTAAACATTTTCAAAATATTATTATAACTATTGAACCATTACTTTTTAGAAAATAGTTCGCTAAATTTTGATCATAGCAAATAATTTTTTTTTTCGATAACTTTTCTTATTTTACAAAAATTTTTACTAAAGCTTTTAAAACAAACTGTTGACCTCCATTTAACAACACTTTAGCTTTCAAAACGGCAGTATATATTTGACTGAAAATGACGGATATTTTGTTGAAAGTTGTGTACACTTTTAATTAAAACTTTAACATATTGTGTTTTTACCTCGATTTCAGTGGAGGTAAAAACTGTTTAAAACATCCATGGATGTTTTACTGATACAATACTTATATTAATAATGGAGTGTATATAAAATAAAATTGAATGTAGAGAGACTTCAAACTGGAGATCACTGTAGTTAACTGTGATTCTTAAACTTCTTCCATTGTATGATAATGAAAAGTTAAATGTTGTAACGATGAAGTAGAAGACATTGAAGTAGCAAATTTAAAGTGGTTATTTGAATTAAGGAATATCAAAAAACAAAGAAAGTTATTTAAAAAATTTGATCAAGGAAGTTCTGAGCAAAATTTAGATTAGAATTCACGCAAATAGCTGCAGACCATAAACACATACTTGTGACCATACTTGTTTAATACG